TTTTATTAATTTCTTTCTTTTAAAAGACGGAGCGATATGTAATAAATTAATAATATATGTAATGAAGTATTTTTTTATTATATTTTTATATATAAATTTTGCTTTATATTTCAGTACTGCTACTAACATTCCAAGTAAAAGCAGCGACTGTGCGTCAACAAGTGAAATATCAGAACTCGAAGAAGATGCTGCTCACATGCAAAAGCGACGAAAGCGATCGAATAATAGCGACATGTTAGAAACGTTATCAAGCATCATGAGGGAACCAATAAAAATAGATACATCAAACAGTACGTGCACCTGAATCTGCGCAATCACAAGACAATATAACTAACATAATAATTGTAATAGGAAATCTATTAAGTGAATTTCCAGATAATGAAAGATTTTTATTTGCGTTAAAATTATTACAATTAACTTCTGAAAAAGGAAACCAATTACGTAAGAAAGTATGAAGTTTATGTTGCGTTCCTTTTACTGAGTAATTACGTAATTGATAATATGCAAAATTACTCTAAGATAAACTCCAAAACTATATTGTGTTGTATGTGAATATTTTATATTCATTAAATTTTAATGTTTTTTCTTCGTTTATAATTAATATGATAAAGTACCGTTATGTTTAAAATATTCTAACAATATTATATGAGTTTTTATATGGATCTAAAAACATATTTCTTATGTTTTATTTCTTATGTTTTTTATGTTTGTAAGTAGACCAAAGTTATATACCAAAGTAATAAGTATAAGTAGTATACCAAAGTAATAATATATTTTTTGTTCATTCTGAAAGAATATTTATTTCAGAGAAGAGAAGAGAGAAAAAGACTTAATTATTTATGACATTATCATACTTATAAACAACGTTTGTTATTTTAAGAACTACAATTAACAGAAAAAAGGAAATGTCATGTCTCAATAAAAATATATTGTTGTGCCTCTCCGGGTACAACGGGAATTTTGGGGATGATCCAAGGGTTCGGTTCGTCTTAGGAGTAGGGACTCCGATTGTCGAGAAACACGAGGCAGAGATTCCGTGCAAAAAGGATTTATTTGTACAGCTTACGTATCGTAGAGTTCGGTTTGGTGATGCTTCGGCGATGTAACAATGTCGGCGTTTACAGAATCTCACAGTTTCTTCAAGTATACGCGTCACCACTTAGTTTCGGAATACAGCCCCGAGGTACTCGTTACCTCTCTTTTTATGGTCCGAAAGTAGGTGATTTTTCGGTACTAGGTCGCGATGTCTTAATTGCATATTGCAACGAATTGCATATCTTGCATTTAATCGCGGTTTTGGGAGCGCGTGTAACAGCTTACGAAGTGCTGAATTTGCACTGTGCTCCTTTTTTACTTTTATAGGTTGTAATTACGTTATTCGATTTCGAGTTACGACAATATTTTATTTCAATATGTATGTACTTTATTATTAGGTGTGCAACTTTGCTTCCGCCGTTTTCCTATAGATGGCTTTAGCGGTAAGTAGTGGTCGAAATAAATAGATCATAGACGTCATGCAATAAACTTGGGCATCTGTCAACATAACCCCATAGAAACATTAGTCAATTTGTGTTTGCATCATAAAGTTATTCCACCTAATACAATGTGTGTGTGTGTGTGTGTGTGTAGTAATGACAAAATAATATTTCGTGAAACCTTTATACATTTTTTTTCGAATAGTTAAGCAATATTTGTTAGATTTTATTTCTAATAACATTTTATGGTATAATGATTAAATCTAAAAATTCAGTATGTACTTCATAGTGTATTCTTATAAATGACACACGTTGAAAAATATATTAACTTTATACGCACATTTCTTGCCATAGAATAGCACCTTCATTACTAAAATAATCAACAAAAATGCTTCGTATATGGTATGCTTCCCGCGTATGAGTATTGCTGCCAAATTGTGTAAAACTATTGTTGCTTTTACTATATTTTCTGCCGTTTGTATCGATGTGTTAATAGGTCGCTTATATATTCTCTATTGAGAAGAAAGAATTCCGAACGCGCATTCCACCATACGGCGCGCTCTACTGAGTCGATAATTAAATATACGTTTTTCCTTTGTTAAACCTCCTTTTCCAGGAAACGGCCGCATCGTGTAATTTGTTAATTGAAAAGTTTCATCAGCTACTAATACATATGGCAAAATAGGTCCCTCAAAGACATGATCTGGAGGTGGTATATCCATTTCACCTGCTGCGAACGCTTCACCCATAGTAGATCTCGACCATATGCCTCCATCACTTTGACGTCCTGCCGCTCTAATATCAACTAACAGAAATTTATAATTGCTATCACAAACAGCCATTAGCACTATGCTATGCGAACTTTTATAATTATAATATGTGGACCCAGAGTTTGGTGGAGCCTAAAATTATGTTTTTAGATATGAAAATGTTCTGAAAATAAATAATTAAAAAGAAATAATATTAAACTTAACAAAATATAATATTACTTGTATGACTACATGCTTTCCATCCACAGCACCTAAACAATGTGGGAAATTACATTTCATCTCAAAATTTTTTGCAATTTTTTTCCATTCATCACATGTAGGTACTTTACCCACTCGGCATGTAATATTGCTGAAATACTGTAATGTTCGGAAATGGTACAGAAATATATTTCATTAATATTTCAATTGTAACTTTGCATCCGAAATATTTCGAAAATGTACCTGTATCATGTTTTTTAAAATATTGCATTTGCAATATTTCTGAAATCTTTCAGAATGTCCTTTTGTAACTAGTATTAAGGTTATAGTTTATTTGCTTACCGCTATGCGGCGCGCTATTCACTGTTTGTACCCGTATTCAAATTTTTGTCATGAGCGTATATAAAGCCTGCAAAATGCGGTTAATAATATTATAATTATTTTTACCAGTTTAATTTCTGATGAGATTCCCATACAGGGAAATTCAGATATTGAACTGATTTTTAGAAAATCGGACAGATAAATGTCCGATTTTCACTTATTCGGACAATTTCTGTCCGAATCAAATTAACAGAAAAAAGGAAATGTCATGTCTCAATAAAAATATATTTTATTTCAATATGTGTATGTACTTTATTACAATGTGTGTGTGTGTGTGTGTGTGTAGTAATGACAAAATAATATTTCGTGAAACCTTTATACATTTTTTTTCGAATAGTTAAGCAATATTTGTTAGATTTTATTTCTAATAACATTTTATGGTATAATGATTAAATCTAATCTAAAAATTAAGTATGTACTTCATAGTGTATTCTTATAAATGACACACATTGAAAAATATATTAACTTTATACGCACATTTCTTGCCATGGAATAGCACCTTCATTACTAAAATAATCAACAAAAATGCTTCGTATGTGGTATGCTTCCCGCGTATGAGTATTGCTGCCAACATTGCCTAAATCTTTAAATGCCGCAGCTTCAATTTCAGATAAAGTTGCAATATCCATAACATTAGTAGTTTCGGAAAAACAGTTAATATCCTCGGTATTTTGACGAAGAAAATTGTGTAAAACTATTGTTGCTTTTACTATATTTTCTGCCGTTTGTATCGATGTGTTAATAGGTCGCTTATATATTCTCTATTGAGAAGAAAGAATTCCGAACGCGCATTCCACCATACGGCGCGCTCTACTGAGTCGATAATTAAATATACGTTTTTCCTTTGTTAAACCTCCTTTTCCAGGAAACGGCCGCATCGTGTAATTTGTTAATTGAAAAGCTTCATCAGCTACTAATGGCAAAATAGGTCCCTCAAAGACATGATCTGGAGGTGGTATATCCATTTCACCTGCTGCGAACGCTTCACCCATAGTAGATCTCGACCATATGCCTCCATCACTTTGACGTCCTGCCGCTCTAATATCAACTAACAGAAATTTATAATTGCTATCACAAACAGCCATTAGCACTATGCTATGCGAACTTTTATAATTATAATATGTGGACCCAGAGTTTGGTGGAGCCTAAAATTATGTTTTTAGATATGAAAATGTTCTGAAAATAAATAATTAAAAAGAAATAATATAAAACTTAACAAAATATAATATTACTTGTATGATTACATGCTTTTCATCCACAGCACCTAAACAATGTGGGAAATTACATTTCATCTCAAAATTTTTTGCAATTTTTTTCCATTCATCACATGTAGGTACTTTAAGAACAATGGATACTGAAGTTGTCCATAATGCATTACACGTTTCAGCAATTATATTTGTTATTGTATATTGATCGATATAATATTGATATTTTAATGACATCATTGAATCACCAGATGCTAAATATCTAAATAAGAAATTGTACAATCAACATTGAAAGAAAGTAAATAATCAACATGTAATTATCTTTATTTGCTGACAATATTAATTTACATATTAATAAGTTATTGATATAAATTTTGTACCTTAATGTAAGCAGCAGACGTTGATCAGGTGGTATTGGATCTCGGCAAAGTGTTTGCTTTCTGATTTTTGGTGCAATTAAAATACATAACTCTTCAAATAGTGTTGCACTCATCCGACAATAGTTTATAAATAAATTAGGATTTTGTAATAACGTTGGTATTGTTGTATAATAAGCCCCATAAGTCTTTCGCTCACAAAGAAAATCTGATACCCAACATCTTTTCTTATTTTTTCTTTTCTTGTGAATTAATAATATTGCTGCAATGCATAATCTCCTCCGCTGTATCACTTGTGCTATTGTACACAGCAAATTAAACTAATTTATATCAGCCATACTTCAATGTTTTTTAAATCACGTACGTACGACACAAAAGCTATAGACATATGTCGATGAAGCTATATTACATATGTACGACAAAATTTCGTCGTAGAAACGGACGCATGCGTACTATCGGCAAATCGGAACGTCCGACAAGCTTGTCGTACGACGCATGTAATATTAGCCTTAGAGAGGACTTCTCTCACTTAGTAAAACAAAGCTTAGCGACGACGGGCAGAAGTTGGGTCTGCCTGTAGAAATCTTCCGCATTTTGTCTAGCAAGACAAGGACACGTAACGAGGAACATCCACGTCCCTTTCCGCTGCCCGCATCACTTGGGCCTATTTTGCGGACCGGATCTGCGGAACCACCGATCAACTCCTGCACTCGCCGGCATATCAGCTGGTCTTTCCAGGAATGGAAGCTGCAGCCTTTGGAGCTGTCGCCGGTGCGTTTCACCCGTCCGGGCAGAGATCTCCTCTCGACGTTGGACGTGAGGGTACGGCGCTACACTTCACCTACATACGGCTGGAACTACCCTCCACGCCTATCGCCGCTGCCACCATCACCAGCAGGGCGAACGGACTGTGAGTCGCAGAGCAACCCGGTCTGCAGGATACACCGAGGAATCCAGTCGAACTCCTCCACCTCCGAGAAGGCTACGCAGGTGACCACAACCTCCACCTGCGAACGAGCAACGCAGTCAGACCTCTCGGACTGGGAGAAAACCATACGCGATTCCTCGACGTAGACAGACGATCCACCGCTGCCCGAAAGGAGTTACACTCTTCCAGGGACTCCTCCAGCACTCCGGACGAAGTGGGGGCCACCCCGCTACACCTCATCGGAGCCGCAACTCCAGTGGCGAGAACGTCTACAATAACGCGACCACCAGCGTACAACCGGCCCTTTTCAGGGCCACCTGTATACATATACAACACCTGTATATACCCCACAAACTTGTATATAATACGAAATAGATTCTTGTACATAGTCCATCGTCGTGATCATTGAAGACGTCCTCTCCAAAGGCATCTCCCTATTGCGAACTGTGGCATGAGGGAAACGAGCGCGCTTCAGCACAACCTCACCACACATCCACATATATATAAATACATAAGCTATAAAATATAAACAAACATAAAATTTCTAATATACAGGGTGGTCCTCGTAACGGTCGCCACGATTTTTAAGGCACTTACAATAATCTGACATAAAAAAGTCATAAACAGAAATTTATCAATAAAAAATAAAATATCTCGTAAAATATTTAGTTTTCGATAATCTTACCGTAATACTTTTATGTACAGAATAATGAGACAATTCAATTAGTAAAAAATAATAATTGTTTTTAAGAAAAAGTATGTAATTATTTATAATGTATTTTTTTAAACAATTATTCGTTTTTTTTAAACTAATTGATTTGCTGCAGAACGCAGCGTTCTTATTTTCGGCGGCCGGCTCGATGGTCGGGCGGCTGGGCCGGTTGGCGGACGGTCAGTCGTCGGCGGTGGCTGCTGTTCGGATGACCCTGGCAGTGGCGGATCGTAGGCGAACACCGGGTCATCTAAGAGCTCGTTTATCGCAGCTAGGATGTCGTCGGGTTGACTCATCGTGGCTTTCTGTGTCTTCGCATTTGGATTTTTGCCGTTTATTCGTCTCTGCCGGCGGTGGGGGTATCGTCATCTTCGTCCCCGTTGTTATTGTTTTCGGCATTGTTGTTGCCTAAACTAAATATTGCGAGCGACCGAGACGTAAACATTACGTCACACTCATGCTCCTTAGTTCCCGGTCCTCAGATTAGGTCACTCCTTACAGGGGATATTCCTTCTCCGGGGGCCCTTCACCTCAGCGACAGGGGAGGGTGAGAATCTTCACTACCTAGAAGTTCTTATTCCATCCTCCCGTATCTCCCTCCTTTGTCTTCGGGAGGATGAAGAGCCGCGCTTCTACCTGCAGTCATATCATGAGACTCTACGATAGTGATGCGCGCCACCCTCCATCCGCCCCGACCTTCCTCCCTGTATATCCGGCCTAAGGATATAGTTATCATACGCCCGTGGGGTTTCTTCGGGTTACCCTCTTAACGGCTACCCGCCTGTCCGGAGGGCCCATATTGCCCGCCCTCCTTACTCTTGGTTGGCCTTCTGCAGGCTGCTCCCCTCGGCGGATCCTTTCATCCGCCTCCTTTTGCGACATTATATCGCCACAAAAGGAGGCAAATGCCCTCCAAGCTTCCTCCCTTTCTACCATTATCGGGATAATAGCAGACAGGGAAAGATCATTACTGCCCATATTGTGGACTAGGACTCGGCGCTGCTCTGTCCAAGCAGGACAGTGTTGTAGAGTGTGCTGCGCCGAGTCACAGTCTCCGTCGCAGTGGTGGCACTTCGTTGTCTCCTCCTTTCCTATCCGGCATAAGTAATCCCCAAAGCATCCGTGCCCGGAGAGCACCTGAGTCGTATGGAAGGTCCCCCTCATTTTCTGTACCTCCAGCCATTCGCTTAGAAGGGGCCTGACAGCTCCGACCACTCTTTGTCCTGCAAAGCTCTCATCATAAAGGCGTCTTTGCCATTTAATAATAAGGGCCTGTCTGGCTTGCTTCCTTAGCAGTACTCTGATCCTGTCAATTATGATGGTTCCCCCCTCTCTAAGCTCTCTTATGCGCTGATAGACTTCAGCATACATTCGAGCCAGAAGCTCAAAGAGGGGGATTCCTGCCAAGACCAGCACCGCCTCATATGCCACCGTTCTGTATGCCCGTGCAACTGTAATGGCCATCCGACGCTGCACCTGGCGCATGAGCTGTTTATTGCGACGGACGGCCATCGCACTCTCAGCCAACACAGGGGCCCCATACAGTGCCACTGCATGCACCGTGGCTGTATATAATCGGCGGGTGTGTCCGCCAGGCCCTCCGATGTTTGGTAACAGTCTTCTGAGGGCTGCTGCAACACCGTTTACTTTAGGGGCCAGCCGAGTGAAGTGCTCGGTGAAGCTCCAAGTGCCATCAATGTGTAGGCCCAGGTATTTAATTTGGTCCCCCACCATAACTCGGGTTCCCTCCACAACAATGTGAGCCACGGGTGGAGCCCCACGGGAGCCGTCATGTATATAGACTGCTTCAGTTTTGTGGGGTGCCACCCGGAGCCCCATCCCTGAGATGGTTCTCACGGTACAAGCCGTGGCCACGTTGGGGGCCACTATGGTTAAGAAAGGGGGGGAAGAAGAAAGGGGGACAAACCAAGGCAACCTCCAACAAGCCCGACTCGGCCAAATCTGCCGCTGGCATAGCAGCGACAGACACAACAAAATCGGGCCAGAAGAAAATGGAGGTTATTACCTGCCCATCAGGGCAGTATGAAGAAGTCATACTTGAAGCACGAAATAAAATCAAAATATCTGACTTCAAGATAGAGGGTCTCCGAACAAAAAGA